TGTTTATTTTCTGTTGCTTTTCAATTGTTATGAACCCGTGGAACTAATTCCTTTTTAGTTAGAGGTGAATTCAAAGCCATGGACATGTGTTTAATATGAATTGATTACTTTCAGTTCTTGTTTCGTAAAACATGAATGTGATTTACTTATTTGTTTGATTGATAACTTATTCTTGTGCGTTAATTGAAGATGCATACTTAGTTTGCATGCATGAATCTGATGCTAAAATATAAGGGAGTTTCACCTAATAGTTACAAACTTATATTTACAAGTAGTGAAGGTTGCTAGTCACAATCGTGTTAAGTAGATTCTTGGCAGGAGTATCACGCAGTTCATAGTTACGAATGCCATGTCAATGCTTATGATTTTCATAGAACGTAATGATCTTTGATATGTATCTCTATCATGCTGTTCATATAAGGAACTTGATAAGAATAATTTGGTTGCGATGCGTTGTCCATTCAATTCAATGAACTTAGGAAAATCTGAAAGTTAATTAGTGCATTCACAATTAATTTGGGGCGTTGTCATTCATGGTTTGAAGAAACAATATTGGAAATCAATTTATGTGCATATGTTTCATGTGTGGAGAAGGACCCTCTATCTAGTTTTTCACCCTTGAATTCACCTTAATCTCGTTTTAATTTACTTTGTTTGCTGCAATTTACTTAGTTTTGTCAAATTCGTCCAAAAACCCCCTCAGTTCTAATTTGGTGTCTTAGTTTAGTTAATTTCGTTTAAATTTGTCCCCATTTAGTATTTTGAGTCAAGTTAGTTTAGAATTCATCCAAATCACTCTTTAGTAGTTGTTTTGAGTCTTTTTAACTTTGTTTTGCTGTTTTGAGTCAATTTGGTCAGTTTTGAGTCATAAGAATCTAGTTTTGTGTTTCTGAGTCTAGTTTAGTGTTTTAAAGTTTAAATTGAGTAGATTAGCATCCCTTCTAATCCCCGGCCTAAACGATCCCTACTTACATATACTACAATCATAGGGTTTTAATTTGAGTGTTGGAATATTTCACATCACATAGTTTTAGGTCACATAGTTTCAGGAAAGGGAATTGAGGTTAATAAATCAAAAATAGATCTTGTACACTACTTACCCTCTCCCATTTCAGTAAGAGAGGTTCGTTCTTTTCTTGGACATGCAGGATTCTATAGGTGATTCATCAAAGATTTTTCCAAGATTTCACAACCCCTTTGGTGACTTCTACAAAAGGATGTGACATTTAAATTTGATGAAGTATGTGAGAAGGCCTTCAATCACCTCAAAGAGATGCTAACTTCGGCCCCCATCATAGTCCCACCAGATTGGAGCCTTCCCTTTGAGCTTATGTGTGATGCCTCAGATTATGCATTAGGCTGTTTTGGGATGCGTATCCCGTCCAATTCAATGAAATAAGAAAAATCTGATGGTTAATTTGTGCTGTCACGGTTAACTTAGGGTGTTGTCATTCATGGTTTAAAGGAACAATACTGGAAATTGGTCTGTTTGCATATGTCATGTGTGGAGAAGGACCTCTAACTAGCTTTTCACCCTTTTTAATTCACCAAATTCATTTTCTTAAAGTGTTTTATGCAAAGTTTCTATTTTAAGTTTTAAATTCGTCAAAAACAATCCCCCTTTCATTAAGTCTTGTTAGTTGAGTCATAATCTGTTTTTTTTTAGTCTTTTGAGTCAAGTTAAGTCTTATTTTCATCAAAACAACTTGTTAGGTCTATAATTGAGTCTTTTTTATTGTTTGTTGCTGTTTGGAATGTTTTGAGTCAGTTTTGAGTCTATAGAGCCTAGTTTAGTGTTTTTGAGTCTTATTTGTGTTGATTAGCAGCCCTAGTTAATCCCCGGTCTAGAACGATCCCTACTTGTTTAATATTACAATTACATGTTTAATAGGGTTTAATTTGTGTGTCAAGTTAATTTTCAAATCAAATAGCACAAATTAACCATTAGATTTTCCTTATTTCATTGAATTGGACGGGATACGCATGACAACCAAATTATCCTTCTCAAGTCCCCTAACTATGAAAAACATGATAAAAAACATATCAAAGGTCATTAAGTTCTTTGAATCATAAGCATTGACGAGGCATTCATAACTACGAAAAGCATGATACTCCTACGAAGGATTTACTTAACACAATCATGACTAGTGACTTCCACTACTTGTGAATATAAGTTCATAACAATTAGGTGAAACTCCCTTATACTCTAGCATCAAGTTCATGCATGCAAACTAAGTATGTATCCTCAATCAACATACATAAACAAGTTTTAATAACTCAGATAAGCAAATCACATTCAAGACTCAAGAAACAATAACTGGATGTAATCAATTCATATAAAGCATAGAATCATGGCTTCGAATTCACCTCTAACTAAAAAGAAATTAGTTCCTCATGTTCGCAATTAAACAAAGATAACTTCAATTAGACATTGAGAATAAAAGATAGAAAACACCTAAGAACGCTCTAGCAATCCAATGTTGAATGGCAAGGCACGACAAAGGGCTCTAAGAATTCTCTCAATTGTATCTGAATATATGGGTGTGTGGTGTAGGAAAATATGGTAGAGGGTGGTGTCTAATTTATCTGGCATAATGATGTATTTATAGCTAGGGTTATGTACAATTTTTGAAGGGAAAATGATTGCACAATCCTAAGGGAAAAGGTTAGAGTTACACAACACAATTTCCTACAAGGAAATGGATAAATTCGGCCTAATTCAAGAGGGAAAAGACTACGATTTGGCAGAAATCCAAAAGGAAAAGGATTGTAGGTTCTAAAGCTAGTTTGTAGAGACTTTATAAACACTATTGATGCACAAAACCGGAGGTCTTGGGACAACGTAAATCCGACCGTGAATCTGCAAGTAATGTAAATAACACAAGATGTATCGTGGTTCACCCTAATGTTTGGGCTACGTCCACACTAATTATTGTATTTATCTGAGAGGTGAGAGAGAGAACCTCTGAATATGAGAGGGGATGTGGGAAGGGTGAGAAGGCTTCAGAAATGGCCTCCCTAATTGTGAGGGTGAGGAGTCCTTTTATAGAATAAGGGCTCCTCACTTATTACATATTTGCCCATTCCTTTATTACATAATTACATTTAAGTCCCCCGAGTATTTGTACGAGATCTAAATACGGAGGCCCTAAGTATGGTATAAACAAACACCAAGCAATATTTTCACTAATGGTAAAACTCTGAACATAATATCAACAATCCAAACCGTTCATCTTCCTGTATCCTCTAATAGATCATGTTTTCAAAAAAGAAAATCCACAAAAACAAATTTTGGTGAGAAAAATGAAGCATAAATGTAAACAACAATCGACGGTTAAATTTTGATCTATGATTTATATGATTATAGTGGCACATTTCAAAGTTAAGCCCTTCACGAAAGTTGTAAGGCTTGTCATCACAAACGTTTATATATTTTTTCTATATTTTTCACACTTCCACATTAATTAAAAAACTATTAAAGACTTTACTTAAACAATAGCCATAGGATAAATGAGAAGAGAGTGCTAATGTAGAAAGCCTCATTGAAAATATCATCAATATAACTCTTGAAGCCAATATATCAAGCCAAAGTTCCAATACCCTTTCCCATGGTGATTGATGAAAATTGAAGAGTTTGATTGTAAGAAAATGTGCAAGGTTTGGAACCTTGAAACATAACTCCCTTAATTTTGCAAATCTTTTGAACATTTGATATTTTGTAATGTTCTAATGATTTATTTTTTATTTTTTATTATGCTCCTATTTTGGGTATGTAAATATGTAATACTTGAAAGACAATTGTGTTTTTATGTTTTGAATGTGATAACATGGTATGTATATACTTATTTAGTATTATGTTTTTCATTTGATTATTTATTTGTTTAAAATATATTTTCCTTAACGGATAACGGTTTGGGTCATATTACCTGTTAATACTATCCGGTTGATTTCGGGTCGTGTCATTTTACTCGTTTATTTTAACAGGTGTTATACGACACGACTCGTTAAGATATCGGGTATGACATGAAAACGACACGAATATGGGAAATACGACACGAATGCCAGGTCTACGTTAAGAGGTGAGATGAATGGATTGCAAGAGAAAGAGAGTCCTATTAGGGGTTGCACTAGGATCGAGATTGTTTTTAATGATAGAGGGAGCAAGGAAAGCAAAGTGGAAGCTTTTGATGGGATGATTGAGCAGTGTATATTTCTCTCTCTACTTCTTTGGACCATCTCCAACCCTTGGCTTAAAACCTAAAATTTTTTCCCTAGATTATTAAAGAATGAATTTGTGCTAATTTGTTTTCTTAAATTAACTTTAAAAAAAAATTATATAAACTATCGTAAATTAGTTTTATGAACATTTTAATCTAAAAATATTTAAATTCTGACAAATATTGAAAAATCACTAAACCGATACATGAAACTCACGAAATACTAAGGAAGAATATGAAAATCATGATAGAGATGTATAAACACAGAATACATGAAACACACAAGACATACATAACACATGTGAAGCACATATAAAACACATGTGAAGGACATACAAAACACATGTAGAGATGAAGCACATACATAACAAATGTAAAACACATGACACACACGAAAAGCATACCAACATACATACAAAACACATGAAATGCATGAAACACAAACCTCACACTTGAAACTGAAACCTTCAATCATCCTCTAGATAAACACAGGTTAAATATCAAATCATCACAAACATTCAAACCTTCAATAATCCTCTATATTTACCAATCTTTGAACTTTCAAAGTGTTTTTGTTTCCTAAAAATCATCAATATCTCATCAATGGGTGATAGAAGAAGGCGTAGCTTGGCAATGCAGATGGCACAATATCAAGCAAGATATGCAACTGTCGATGTAGAAATGAACGCAGAAGAAGTCGAATTTGCAAACTCAATAATTCAATATCAGCACCATGCCGAATCTAGCCATCGTGGTTCTGTCATGAGGCGTTCATTTGTGTAGCGTGATAGAGAAGAGTGTCATGACCGGATGATGAAAGATTATTTCATCGAACGTCCGAGATATTCTTCTCATGATTTTCGGAGGTGGTTTCGGATGAGCAAAGAGCTTTTTGAAAGCATCTTGAACGCAATTGTCCATCATGACCACTACTTTGCAAGGAAGATAGATGTTGTAAGCCGACAAAGCCTATCACATTATCAGAAACTCAAATTTGCATTTCGGATGCTAGCTAATGGGTGCTCTGCAGACTCAACTGACGAGTATTGCCGACTTGCGAAGAGTACTGCTATTGAGAACCTGAAGCGCTTCTGTAAGGTAATTGAAGCCATATATGAAGCCACATACCTTCGCAAGCCAAATCGTGAAGACTTGAAGCGGCTTCTAAGCAAGGCAAACAAAAGAGGCTTCCCTGGCATGATAAAAAGTCTCGATTGTATGCATTGGGAGCGGAAGAATTGTCCTACTGCTTGGGCCAACCAATTCAAGGGTCGTCTCAACAAGCTAACCATCGTGCTCGAGACTGTGGCGTCTTACAACATGTGGATCTAGCATACATTTTTCAACACTCCTGGATTAAACAATGATATCAACATTCTTTGGTCTTCTCTCTGTTTGATGATGTTGTCAATGAATGGGCACCAGAATGGAGGTACAAAGTAAATGGTAATAGGCATGAGCTAGGTTACTACTTAACTGATAGTATTTATCCTAGCTGGTCTACCTTTGTGAAAAGTTATTCTCATCCCGATAGTACAAAGAAGAAATTATTTTCGCAGAGATAAAAGTCTTACAGGAAGGATGTGGAGAGAACGTTCGGGATCCTATAAGCTTGATGGGCCATTGTTAAAGGGGTTGCACAACTTTGGCATACCAAAGACCTCCATTCAATCATGATGACATGCATAATTTTGCACAACATGATTGTGGAAGATGAATATGTCAAAATTGAGGAAGATTCTAACGAATATCTGGATAATGACCAACCAACATATGCTAGAGCTATGGCAAGAGATGTTGAATATCTCGCTACAACCATAAACGAGACCTGATAGGATAGGGTCACACTCAATGAGTATATGAGACGTTTAAATAGAATTCAAGCTCTTCAAGGTCATGACACACTCCACAAGGATTTGGTTGAGCATATATGGTGCTGAGAAAGAGAACGTTGATGATGGATAATCTTAATTGTAATAATGTGTTATGTTATGTAATAATTTTTCAAGTACTATGTTGGTATTTTCTAGTAATAAATTAAATTGTCTTCTTGTGACAAGTCTTTTCACTAGTACGTTATCAAACTTATTGAAGGCCGTTTGAATTATTGAAGGCATCTATTGTACAATAATTAATGGGTGCTCTGCAGACTCAACTGATAATAAGTACAATAATTATTGAAGGCATCTAGATTAATGAAACAATAATTAATAAGTCATAAACTTAATACAAACGACATTTAATAAACCACATAAACTTAATACAAAGGACAATTAATAAACCCCATAAACCACATAAACTTAAAAAAAGAAACGATAATTAATAAACTACATAAACTTAATGCAATCGAAAATTCATAAACTACATAAACTTAATAATGATATCCACCATCTTGATTTGGTGATGGACTTGGGATATAGCCTTGAGATGAATTATCATCTTGAAATATACTCCTTCTAGCATCCCTTTGCAAAATTTCCCTTTGCTTACCACGTAAGTACTTCTTCCTCTTTGGAGTGTATTTGTTGAGGTCCTCCATCATGAAATTTATTTTGAAACTCTCTTGCTCCATATCCCCTAGCTGCATCACAGCCACACGCATTCGGGCCGCTTCCTCCTCTCGAGTGAAGGAGTATTTTGTGACAACATGTTCATTTAAGCAATATCTATAGCATGCAATTAACAATTAAAAGGCGGAATCATGCTTGTATGCACTTAAAACAAAACATTAACCATGAAATTCAAAGCCTAGTAGATTGGTGAACCAAGACTCAACTCAAAACAAAGTGAGTTGAGATTTATACCTTTGTAGATTCCTCTTTGCATAAGCAAAGGCTAATCACCCAAAGAGAGGGCCTTCATTCCTTGCTTCTTAGATCTATGGATTTGGATGGAAAAATATGTTTCTCCAAGTTCTCAAAATAGAGAACCTCTAAGTCTCCACACCAAGGTTAGATTTAAGTAGAAATGAGTGACCTAGAGGAAGTTGGATTGCTAGCTAATCTCCTCTAGGGTGGCCGGCCTCTTTAGAGAGAAATGAGAGCTTTCTGTTCTCATCCTTTCCCAAAAAAGAAACCCTAAATGAATTTTGGCTATAAAGTCATATTTATACCTTAATTCATTGGAGTGGCAAACTTGTAAATAAGTCCAAAACCCACTCCATCTCTAAATTGCCGGCTATAGGGATTCATTGGACTATTTGGCCCTTTCTGAATCATTATTCATTAAGTTGTCATACAACTTAAGTCAATGGACTTGACGTTCGAAGCCCATTGGGCCTTAAGGTCCAAAAGTATCCCAAGGTCTTTAACGAACTTATTCGTTTGATTAATTAACATATTAATTAATCCTTGCCATAAATAATTAAACCATTTAATTATTCTTACTCATCTCCGTTGTTTCTTCAATCTCTACCTTACACGGTGTACGATCCATTTGGTTCCTTTTTAGCAAGGCAGTGGGCGATTAAAACTCTTTCAAATCGATTGTGAATTGAAACTTACTTTCAATTCTCTTTAGTGTTTATACACGTTTAGGGCTTCCACAAACCAAGAGTGACACCTAGCAGCATATCATGGTTACCCAAGCTAATCAGAAGAGGTGAAGAACCTATTCAGTTTAGGATTACAAATGCAATACGGTATTTCTCTAATACAATACTCTTGACCACATTGTTTGGTTTGATAGTTTATTCATGTCTACTATCCAATGTGATTCGTGTGCTTATATGATTACCTTGAATGTGATTTGGAACAACTTCCTAAATCTCATTCATACTTTGGCCAAAGATTCTTAATCATATCATAGAGTATTCTCCCTCAAACGGTTTGAAGGTTAGAGATCCATTGTTGCGCATTCACTTGCCTTCATGGCTAAGTGGCTTAACCCCAACGATGCCGTGGACACCCTCGAATGGAGTGACTTTGACACAATCAAAGATCAAGGACTTAACCACAAGACAACTATGATGCCTCAGGTCAAAGGACTACTTTGCATTATCCCAACCATGAGTTCTCATGTGACATGAGTATGAGAACTCCTCGTTGACATGAGCATGGAGGCATGAGGAGGGACGAATTTGAAGACAAAAGAGGCTATGAACATGCTAAAAATCTGGTGAAACAAATACAAGTTGCAAGAAGGGATAAATTTCTAGAAGGATTGACCAAAACTTCACTCAAAACCAAGAAATTCTTCAATGTCGTGGGCATTGATTCACTTTCACCAGAAATTTGAGTGATGATGCAATGCTTAAATCACCATGACATGTGAGTGGATGATGCAATGCTTAAATCACCATGACATGTGAGTGGATGACTCAATACCTAACCCACCAACAATTCCCACTCTTGCCGTGCTCACCTACTCAATTCCACCAGAATTTTGTGTTAAACAAGTCCATCCTTTTCCTATAAATACCATGGCAGCAACCTCATTCAAATCATCCAGAAATTAACCATTCTCCAAGCCTTGCCTTGCCTCTCCCTACATATCTAAACTCCTTCCCATCCGTTCCTCCACATAACCAACCCTTCAAAACATCACTCCAACCTTGTGTTGCAACAAAGAAGAAGAGGAAAGTTCTTGTACGTGCTTGCTATCCAACATGGATCGTTGGAACGTTTAGGTGTTTTCTTCTTTTTGTTTTCAATGTATAATTCTATTTATCTTTGTTTTGTGAACATGAGGAACTAAACCCCTATTTAGTTAGGGGGAAGTTTGAAGCCATGAACATGCTTGTGATATGAATTGATTTCTTCCAATTGTGATTTGATAAGTTGTGATTGCAATTCAATTATCTATTTTCTTCATAACTGATTCTTGTATGTTTATTAAGGATGCATACTTAGTTTTTCATACATGAATTAGATGCTAGAATATAAATGAGTTTCACCTAATTGTTACAAGTTTATATTCATGAGTAGTGAAGGTTGCTTGTCACAATCGCGTTAATTGAATTCTTGACAAACGTATCATGCATTCATAGTTACAATTGCCTCGTCAACACTTATGATTTTCATTGAACGTAATGATCTCTGATTGTATCTCTATTATGCATTCATATAGGGGACTTTTAGAGAATAATTTGGATTGTCGCATGCATTCATCCAATTCAATAAGTAAAGGAAAATCTGAGGGTTAATTTGTGCATCACGGTCAATCTGGGGTGTTGAGCATCATAGTTTATTGAAAAGCAATTGGAAATCGATTCATGTACAAGTGTGTCATGTGTGAAGAACGGACCTCTAACTAATCCATCCATCATCTTATTTCTCAAATTCGTTTTATAATCTGCCTACTTAAAAATCTATTTAAGTTTTAGTTTATTTGTTTTACTTTCAACTTTACCAAACCCAAATCCCCCTTTTACTTTCTTGTTTTAAAAGTCTTTGGTTTACATTTTTAACTTTGTTTCTTTTTGTTTTTGAGTCAGTTTAGAGGTTTTAGGAAGCCCTCCTAATCCCTGGTTTAGAACGATACCCTACTTACATCTATACTACAATTGTCAAAAAGAGGTTTTAATTTGTGTGCTTATAATATTTCGCATCAAATTTTGGCGCCGTTGCCGGGGATTAGCAACTTTGCTAAATCCCCATTGTTTCTTTTTATTTCTTTTTTGTGTGTTTTAATTTTAGTTTTAATTTTATTTGATTTTGTTTATTTCAGGTACTAGTTTATGACTCGTAGTTCTCAACCAGTTCGTGCACATATATCGGAGTTTGACGACAATTTTGAACGAACTTTGAGAAGGAAAAGGAAAGTACCAGAACCTAATCCACCTAGTTCTAGTTCTGAATCCGAATTTGAAGAAAAGGAGGAGGCAGAAAAAGACATGGAGGTGGACAATCGAACAATCAAAGAACTTTCAGCCTCGGGATTGGACAATGCCGCGCCTCTATGTATCCAATACCCCACAGCAGCCCGAGGAAAGACAGAAGAATTTGAATTGAAGTCAAGCTTGTTACACCACATTCCGAAGTACCATGGGTTTTCCATGGAAGATCCTAACAAACACTTGAAAGAATTCGAGGTGGTGTGTTCGAGCATGACCCCCGTCAATGTCGATGGGAGTATTTTGAAGATGAAAGCCTTCCCTTTTTCTCTCTTGGAAAAGGCGAAGGATTGGTTGTACGAATTGGCGCCCGGAACCGTCACATCATGGGAAAGCATGAAACGGGCCTTCTTGAAGAAGTTTTTCCCAACTTCTCGAGTCATCCTCCTACGGAAGGATAAGTGGAATTCAACAAGAGGAAGGTGAATCTTTTCCTACTTATTATGAACGTTTTAAATCTCTTGTTGCTTCTTGTCCACGACATCAGATGAAGGAGGAA